CCTTGCCCTGCTCTTAATTGTTTAGCAAATCATGGATACATGTATTTATTTATAAATAAATATTATTTATTGTGTGGAATGTAGTTATTTAAACTAATTAACTAATTGACTAATCAATCAATCAATCAATCCTTCTAATAGTCCTCGTAATGGAAAAGATATTACAATATGTCAATTGATGAATGGTTTAATGAAAGGTTTTAATCTTTCAAGAGGTTTGGCTATTTTCCAAACATTAAATACCTTTTCATACTTTGGAAAAATATTCAAAAATAAATTGTAAGTAGCCAATAATCAATTTAATCATATCCAATCAAATGATATCCAATCTAAATCCAATTATTATCGATTATTAGATCACTAGCAGATTTACATCAACATAATAAACTTGAACATGATGCATCAATAACTCGTATTGATAAAGACTTGGGCCCTAATTGGGAAGTTAATCATGATTTGATAAATTTATTCCTGGGACAACAACAATATGATGGAAAAATAACCAAAGATTCTTTCATGAAAATTCACAAAATACGTTACAACGATTCTAAAAGTAATAACACCAAATTTACATATGAGTGGAAACAAAACAACTTGGCTTTTGGTGAATACAGTTTGTTTTTGACTATTATAGGTGCTGCTACAAACAATGAAGTTGATGTGGATTGTGCTGATAGTATTTTGAGAGATGAAAGAATCCCCAGCGATTGGAAGTTTGGTGAATCTTCCATCACTTTAATTAAATTATTAAAATTTCAAAAATACCTTGAAACGCAATACAAGGAAAAATATGGAGATGATGATGTTGATAATAATAATAGCAAGAATAAAAATGAGATTGAGAATAGCAAGAAGAATGATAGTTTTTATAAAAAAACAATTAGATTATTAAAGCATTAAATAAATTATTTAATAAATTAATAAATTATTCATTTATATATACACACTTACTCACTTGAGCATATATACATACCAACATACACACATGTATTTATTATTTAAATTTGTTTTTTCTTCTATTTCTATTTATTAAAAATTCTTTTAATGATGAAACAACATTTTCATGATCTCCAAGAGATTCATTAGCTGTGGTTGATTAAACCACACCAATTCCTTTAATAATTAACAGAAATGCCCCTTTACTAGTTAAATAGTCTTTTTTATTAGTATTGAGTCATCCTCATCTTTAATAGCAATTTTCTTTTACATACAATGATGAGTGACGATAATGATTTACAACATTTTTCTTCTTGATGATTCTATATCAATAGCTTTTGTTCCAGGCATTTGGATAGTTAAATAAAAGATGCTGATTCATCATGATAGAAATTACAACTGAAATTCCTTTTTGTTGTGCAGTTTTTAGTCCAATTCTAATGCCACTAAATCTAAATCTTGTTCTAGTTGAAGTAATTGTGGCAATACATGAGCTTCAATGTCTATTATTGTTGTGATTTTTGGACAACCTTTTTTTTTATAGTCATTTATCACATGATAAAAAAGTTTCTAGGAAGAAAAAGACATTAATTTATAATAATCATATAGATCATTTATTTAAAGATGAATAAAAAAAATGAATTTTTTTCATCAAAATCAAGAGACAATAACAACAATAGTAACATTTGCTATAAATAGATCAATTCTATTCGCAATTATATATTTGTTTTAATGGGGTGATTTTTGAGTTGTGATTGTTTGCCGTTTTTTTCTGCCTTTTTTTTTGTCGATTAATATTTATCACATCCGAAATTTGTCACCGAAAATATATAATGTAAAAAAATTATTTTTGGCCTGCCCGTATTTTTATTATTATTTATTACTAATATATAGTATTATATTTTTGGTGACCTGCCGTTTTTTATTAAACGTGATAAACCATTTATCACGTTTAATAAAACCTTTTTTCCAAGCAAACAGAGATTTACTTAGTTTTAATATTTAGTTAGAATGATAAAGATAAATCATTACGGTTTTTTTTTTAATTAACAAATTTACAACTGAGAATGCAACGTAAGCCTTTTTGCTTTTTATTTTTATTTATTATTATCACATCTTAGACCAAGACAATAGTTTATTCTATTAAATTCGAATCATATAAATAGGATAGCCGCCCCCATATTTTTTCATAACTATAACTATTATTTAATGATTAGAAAAAATTGTTACGCGAATAACAAAAAAATCTCATATACAAAGAGACGAATTTAATAAACTTTATAAAACTTAATCGCATTTGAGAAATAGATAGCCAAAAAGTGAAAAGCTTCTTAATGGATACATATAATCAATGAAAATAATGAAAAGAGGTGGGTTTTAATATAAATGATAGAGAACATAATACCTAGTGGATGGGCCATCTCATTCACACCAACTCCGTTTTCAACCATCATCATCTAAAAGAGCTACATATTACCAAATATTAATTTTTATGCAAAATTGATGATAATTACATATTCATATAATAAAAAAATCAAAAAGGACGCGTTTTTACTAACCGGAATTTGAATTAGTTTTTTTGCCCTTATTATTATTATTTATGGTAATAATCAATTTTAATTTTTACGCCAAAAAAATAATTTCATGTAGATTGCTGTGGCGCAACCAAGTGAACTAACTCTTTCTAAATTAAATCATGGTAGATGTTACACTTACTATTACGTTTATCTTAGTGAAGAGAGCTTTGGCCCATTTATCTCAGATACAATCAGAATCAAAGTGAAGATTTTCACTTCAATCACTATACACTCCGATATGGTCTTGGGGAGAACGAACATTACAACTATCCTTTAAAAGTAATTCAGAAATAGCCAATTTCAAAAAGTCGAGTTAATTTTTTTTTCAAAGTTTACACAAAGGTGATTATGCAAAAAGAAACTACTTACTTTGATATCAATGGAAGTTCTACGTCAAGGCAACAGTTTCTTTCCTCTGCAGATTACTGTACACAAAACTCAAGGATTGAATCTTAAATTTTGACTTTTCTTATATAAATACTGACCAATCCATGATTCAAGATTACACAAGATTGAAAAGTGTGGACCAGAGAGGTCTTGGCCAAATTAAAAAGTAGCAAAAGCAATTAATTAATTAACATATGGGGCAGACAAAGTGAACGTTTGTATTACCAAGAATTTCAGGGATCAAAATTTGGTCATTTGTAACGTGATCATAATTTGTTAGAACTATCCTTATATTAATATAACAATAATTAATATGAAACTCATTTATAATCATCTCGATCGGCAATTTACGTCCTTTTGTTGGTTGATTTGATTGATTAGGCAGTAAAGACAGTTGAATTGATGTTGTTGCTATCTGTTATATATTTTTTTTTTGTTAATAATAATAATATTATAATTAATCTCCAAAAAAACCTGAAATGTCAACCAATTTTGAAAGAAAGTAGTTATTGTAATAAATAGATGAAAATTATTTCCAAGTTGTAGAATTACTTGATCATTCTCAAACGCAAAAATAATAAATTGAATAATGTTAAATCTAATAGATTGAGCTTAGGTGCAATGATCGCACAAGTATCATCTTATTACATGAACTTTTCATGTGTGACTAACAAGAAGAAAAGGATCCCGAATGCAATTTCGATGAATACCACTCCTTCCTGAATTTCAATTGTATACATACTTTTTCCATCTACTTTGCCTTTGACGTTACATAAGTTTAATAAATTATTATTATTTAATAGTAATGATAACCATGTAAACGAAATATATCATAAAATGACCTTATGGAGTTGCGTTAATTTGATGTTTTCGATTTTGATTTAGAAGTTAATATTAGCTATGCGTAATAATAATGCGATAATATTATTAATAAAATAAAAATGCTCTTAAATTATCTGAGTTTGAAACAACATACAGTCAAACCTCGTCATAGCGGATCTCGCCATAGCGGATTTCTTGTTACAACAGATTTAAATATTGGCCTTTTTTTATTAATATTAATATTAATTAAAATGTTTGTCATAACGGATTTTTGATGGGGGTCATCTGCCAAGTATCCGGCCGGATACTTTTCAAATAGATTATTTTTAATTAAAGATCAGTCAGCATTAAAATAAGCAACAAAACAACAGATTTACAAGCAACAAATTTTCTAAAATAAACAAACAATTGATAGATTATTTGTCCAAATGTTTTCGAGTAGCAACCTTTTCCAAAGTTTCTACAATAAATCAATAAACCAACAATTGATAGATTGCTTGTCCGCAAGTAACAAAGGTTTCCAAGCTTCTAAATTTGATAGATTATTTATCCAGATGTGCGCGAATAACAAAAATTTCCAAGTTTCTAAAATAAATCAATTGATATATTTCCAAAAATTCGTAATAAAGTCAATTAGATCATAAAGAATTTAAAACATTGAAAAGAAAAGTGAAATCATTAGACGATGACAAGCAGAAAAGGGCCCATTAGCATTTTTATCAATTTGGAGTTAATATCAATTAAAAATGTTTTGGAGAGGTGATAATGATCAAAAGAGGAATTATATATATATACATGAGGAAAACACATGTGTGTTTTATCTGACTTTTGTTCATTGTCGACAGATGTCAATTTATTGATCTTGTTGTTATAAACTTCTGATTTTCGTAAAAATTATTTTAATAAAATATTTGACAAAAAATTTTTCATTTTGCCCAATATCTCTGAAAGAAAGATTCTAAATATTTTGCAAAAAATAAATAATTTTAAATCTATGGATATAAAATAATAATGACATGATTATTATATTTGTTGAAATTTCTAATCTTTAATATATTTGTGCGAGAGCGTGTGTAAGTGTAGTAAACATGACCTCTTTTATTCCAAGTCAATTATCTTTTTTCTTCAGGTTTTTAATCCAAGATTTTCTATTGAAACTACTTTATCGGTGAGAGGTGATGATTATGGTTGATTAATGCACACTTTATAAATCTCGTCCAAGCTAAAAATTCACGTTTATATAATTAATTACAAAGTAAATATATGAATAAAAAAATTCTACCCTAGAAAGAAAACTTTCTACCCAGCCATCGTCTTAACGAAAGAAGTATCAAACCAAATAAAATTTGCTCTAATTGCTCAACAAGTTCCTCCCAGTCTTCTTCTATTTCAGACACGTTAGCAGTTGGATCATCATCGTCATTATCATTATCTGTAATGTCTTGTAGAAGGGCCAACCTTCTGAATTAATTCAGTCAGTATACTGCCACAACAAATTGATCTATAAAAAATATCACTCGTGTGAATGTTATTAGATGATATACCTTCTAATTCGTCTGTTGGATGTTGTTGGATTAGTATGTTCCCATCTATAGAATGAGACATTATCAAGAAGAAATTGTCGGATTAGTGTAATCAGTAATTTTTTTGTGCAGGTTTGGATTTATATTGAAAATTATCAATCGTAAACAAATTTTATTATTATTATTGTAAATTTATTGATATGTATATATTACAGATAAAGAAATTTATAATATATACATATATATCTATATATTAAATGAATTCTTTATGTATACATGTATCTATTTATTTACACCTTTTTTATCATGTTTCCCTCGCTTACACAGCAATTTAAGACTTTCAATATTCAAACTGAGCATTTCCAATAAAAATTGTACTTGAAATTTTATACCTGAACTAATGATATTATTTTTCTTGATTGATTCTTGCAAATTGTTGATTTTGTTGACCACTGTGTTATTAATCACTAATTCATATTCTTCATCATCTAATCCACAAATCATCATTATTGAATCATCACCGCTATTCCTTCTAGTATTACGGTTATTATTAATGCAATTATTAACTCGTATGATTTTTGAAGAAATGTAACTTTGAAGGATCCAATATAGCATATAATAATGTCTCCATGCTAAATCAGACATAATATCACCTTTTTTGGTTTTTTTAAATGGAATTGAATCAAAATAAACATTAATTATTTTTGATAAACTTAATTGTGATTTTATCAAGTGTCGATAATTACGACCAGCTGAGTTAATATCTGCATTGGATAATGCTAAATCAAGCAACTTTGCTTTAAAGGTGTTTGATATTAAAGTCTATAAATAAAAATCAAGATTATTTATTAATAAAGCATAAATAAATAAATGAATAAATAAATAAATAAATAGAATATATACACATCTACACCAAACTCACTTGAAGAAATAATTGGAATTTTGATGAATCAAGATGCTTGGATTTCAAGTATATCTCAGTTGTCAAAGTTTTAGAGCAAATATGTTCAGAGTATGAAAGAATTATCATCTAAAATTATTAATCAAAAGTCTTTTTATTTTTAATATTCAATTCTAAATAAAATTAATTCTGTTAATTTAAATTATAAGCAAAAGCAGACTTTACCAAATCTAATAATCTTTGGATCATGTTTACAAAATCTTTAGATATTTCATCTTTGTCAAATATTGAAATTAATATATCAACAGGAGTTTTAATGTTTGTTGTACGTTGTTGGGCTCCATAATTGTTTGGAATAAGTTGTAAAAATATTGTTGAAGATAAATTTTCTAAATAAAAAATTGATAGATGTATATTTTAACAATTATATAGTGATTTAAAGAGGACAGGTATTTATATATTTCAATTGTTTTTTACCTTGTTTTAATTTTATATCAACTTCTAACACACTTACTATATGTTCAAACAACAAGAGTTTTCTCTAAATTATATACATGTGTTCAATCAATAAATATGTACTAAAAAAATCAACTGAATGATAATTATTGACTTACTTGAGATTTATCATCATCCATTAGATGAGGTTGGAACATCGTTTTTTTGAAGAAATTCCAAAAATCTTTATATTCTTTCCAAATGTCATCTATTTCATTTATTTGACTATCAAAATCACTTGAAGAAGGAGATGACGACCAAATATTCTCAAAAGGTAAAGAACCCTCTTGTTGTAAAATTTGATTTAAAATTTTATGTGCTTTCAGAGCCATTCTATAATTAAC